ACATCAGCTGGTGGACATAAATACAGTACAGTAATATTATATTCACAAAATACTAACAATAATATGTTCATCTTACTTGTGAAAAGTTATCCCCCGAGACCTGACGTCAACAGTCCGTCGATTAGAACAGAAATAAGCAGCGAAGTGCTGAGACATCTTCTGCTTTAACCAAATATGGACGACCGCTCCAAAATGGCGGCCGAAATACCTGCGCCGCAGCAGCCGATGAGGGATCTAGTGTTTATGTCTATGGTCGGAACCATAACAGCAGTTACAGTGGCAGCTGCCCAGTTGCAGTCGGTGGCTCAGATTTCCTTGCTGAACTGGAAGAGTAAGACTAAAATAAGGAGTAAAACTAAGAAATAAACAGTTGGAGATGATCATGACTTGTTTATCGAGCGGAAACGGTGCTCAGTCCGTGACGTTTTCCCCGCAGGAGAAGCAGCAACAGCCCCGGGCCGTTGAGACGTAAAGCATCGTACGGTGTCAGGCAGCGATGTCCGCTGAGGCTCGCCCAGCGCTGCTCATGTCCTTTTCTGTCTCAAGCCGAGGGATCCTCTTGGAACACACAGAGTATGTCTTGTTTATTAATTTTGACTACCTTTTATTCACTAATGATACTTTTTGTTAACTGTGTGTTTGGAAAGCTAACACGTCAAGCTAGCTAACAGTTTAGGTTCTTGTCTGGAAAAATGGCTTTAAGTAGGAAAAGTATGCAAATTACTTTAGTTTCACATTTATATTCAAATCGTTGGGACATTAGGTTGTCCTGTACCAGTTTTAACAAAGTATAAATAGTTCCAAGTTTTGTTTAAACTAATTTAATTGACAGTTTTAGTTGGCATTTTACAGTTTAGCTAATTGGCTCCTGGCAGCTGTAAAAGTCACATCTGACAGCTGTTTGTGGTTAATATTTAACTTGTGGGTTAGCTATTGACGGCTGTGGTGTGCCTTATATACTCTATTGTCCAGTAGGCTCTTTTTAACGGCCCTCTGAACAACTTACCTGAAGTATTATATATGGCTCAATCTAATGAAAGCTGTACTTGACAGGGTATCAGTTTCATAACCTTCATTTGTCTGATTTGTCTTGGACTGAGTTGAATATGATTGATTGTCCAACACCATTTATTATCTTTTGCGTCTGTAGGTAACAGCTGCTGTGCTGGATCTTGACAGGTATGTGGTTAAATTTTGTTTGGTTTTCAAACCAGTCTGAACTGAGTGGTGGAGCCTTCGCTTCACGCCTGACATGCTTGTGGATCAGAATGTGTTTCCTGTCGTGCTTCAAATGCTGCAGTGCCTTCCTTAAGTCGTTTTTACATCTAACTTTTCCCTTCTTGCCTTTTTGTTTCCCACAGTTTTGTTGTAATCAGGTCAGCAAGGACCACATTTGTGTTGTTAGTGAAGCATCAGTTCAGGTTGTGTTACCCTATCTTTTTCATAATTGATTTGCTCCGTCACTGTCCTCTTTCTGAACCCAGCTGGAAGTGGCACGCCCTACAGCCCACAAGGGACTACAGAGAATGAACTTGATGACAAAGTTCTGAAAGCTGAGAAATTATAAGCAAATTGTGTATGTGTGTTCAGTTAGCATTGTGTTGGTTAAAAGCAGTGATAAGACCACCATCTGTGACTTTCTGTGGAGCTGTGAGTCTCGTGTAGTAAGCTACTGTAATGTTTCTGGGCTAGGAGAACTGAAAGAGATTTGTTTGAGCATTTTGAGGATGATCATTGTACACCCAGACCCTAGGCAGCAAATAAATATTTTCCATAATAATGTAATAACTCACAATGCTACTTTTATGTAGCGCCTCACTAAGGATAAATTAAATCTAGTATGTGCTGTGCTGTTTGTTTTAAAACACTGCATTCATTTTCTCTTTACTGTAATTCCTCATTCAAAACACAAGATGATACTAAAACTGATCTAACAAAGTTAATTCAGGTCCTCTGGATGGATTCTTCTTGTTGAAACATTTCATCTTTTATCCAAAGAACTTCTTCAGTCTGAGGAGCTTCAACAAACTCAGTCACTCACATAGTGGGTCAGCCAGTCTGATGGTGCTCAGGTGGTTCCTGTAGTCTGCCCTCTCCTTGGCCATCTGCTCAAACTCTCAAACTAGTTTAAGGCAATCCTGGCCAAAGTGGTTCAAAATATCCTGATTCATGCTCAATAATCCAGGTAGAAAAATCCAACAAAGTTAAGTCAGGTCTTCTGGTCTGGATGGATTCTTCTAGAGAAGAAACCGTCCTCTCCTACTAAAGGAAACACTACAGCAGGGGTGCACACACTTTTTCAGCAAACAACTTTTAAAATGACCAAGTCAAAGTGATCTGCCTACTATAAAAATAAATTTATAAACTTGTTAAGTATTCTTTATTTGTTCAATATATGTTGGTGTACCTTGCATAAATGCATCAACCTATATTGCACAGTACAACTGTACATTTTTTTGTCAGTACCTGACTCTGATAGTTTGCACTGAGTGGAACCAGCCAGGGATGCATGGTCCGGACAGTAGGTGCCGATAGTCAGCCTCGAGCACACTTCATCAGTCATGGTGGAACGAACAGTATTTGGACTTGATGATCTTCATGTGGGAAAAGGCTGACTCGCATAAATAAGTGGAGCCAAATAATGCAGCCAGGGAGGTAACCCATTTCCTCATGTTGGGGGTGAGTAAATTCCAGCATTATCCATGAACCCTGGCCTTGAGCTGAATGTCAGCTTGTAGTGTCGAGATCTCATCGTCCACTCCAGAAAAGTTTAGGTGAACCAGTGTTTGCCAGTGAAGCGACCTCTGCATCTTCCTGTAAAGAGTAGCACATGACTGGTTCCAGTAAAATAAGTCTCAAAAGCATTAGTCAAACCCTGACAGTTCTCATTCTGCTCTGTGTGTGTCAAGTCAAGTTGCACACACGCTTCCCCTTGTGCCTCCAGCTCTGACGGAGGTTTTTAGAAGTTTGCCCAATCATGGCACCGCAGCTTTGAGGAGATGTTGCACTGAGCTGATCATATCGATCACGGTTTGGTCTTTTCCTTGCAGCTCTACCTTAAGGTCGTTCAACATGTTGGTCACATCGACTCAATGTTACATTGGAGGCGACTCGGTAGCTTGCTTGTTTTTTGTGCGGTTGTATGTGCATGTATGGTGACCCATGTGTCAGAAAAGATCAGGTCTCTGATTGGCTGCTCTGTATGTCAATCAAGTGACAAATTTCATAGATGGATGATAGACTGACATCTGTTTTTTAAAATGCCATGCAATCTACTCATATTATCTTTGCGATCAACCGATAGATCGTGATCAACGTATTGGACACCCCTGCACTACAGAAACTACCTGAGCACCATCAGACTAGTTGACCCACTATGAGAAGGGGATATTTATAAGACTGAGTTTGTTGCAGCTCCTCGGACTGAAGAAGTTCTTTGGATAAAAGATTCAATGTTTCATCAAAGAAGAATCCATCCAGAGGACCTGACTCAACCTTGTTAGATTTATGTACTTGGATTATTGAGGATATTTTGAGCTACTAAACTGAGCATTGTTCCAGAAATGATTATTTTAAGTAGAATGTCTGTTTCATTTGCAGCTACACAGGAAAATATGCACAATCATTTCTTTAGATTCATCTCTTTAATAATGTGTTTTTCACTTTGTAACTCATCTCTTTTTATGCGTTTCACATAGAAATAGCTTTGGACTTCCTGTCTAAATCCCCCTGTCTGGATTGGTGATTTGGTGCTGGAGGTCTTTCATCTGGTTTCTGCCTCGTTTTGGTTGCACATCCTGGCATCTGCTGTTGCTCCACATGTCTTCACTTCCTCCACAAGGTGCAGGGCGTTCTAAATGTGCCATGTAGCCCATATTGAACTCCTTCTCAGTGGAAGAACCACCGCAAGTGAACTTTCCTGCCAGGACACCACATTACCTGCCCACTCTCACCCCACCGTCAGCATCCCAGTAACATGCTGGGTGCCCTCTTGCAGCGGAGGAATATGTCCCAGAAGTTGAGTGTGCTGCTGCTGGTATTTGGCCTGGTGTGGGGACTTATGCTGCTCCGCTACACTGTGCAGCAGCCTCGCCATCAAAGCAGCGCCGAGTTGCGCGAGCAGATTCTGGAGCTTAGCAGGCGATATGTCAAGGTCCTGACAGAGGAGAACCAGAACGCACCAGGGGGTCCACAAGGACCCTCCATGGCAGGTTATGGTAAGTAGTTTTAGTAGGGAATGCTCAGCAGGTGACCAAAATTAGACTGTTTTGAGTGTGATCCACAAGTCTGACAGACACATATCAGTTTTTTTAGTCTTTGAATGTCTCATCATACTTCATACATCACACTTGCAGCATGTTTTGGTGTGAAATTTATTTTATTTGGAAGACTTTATTACAGCTCAAGATGAACTTTAAAGTCAAAATAAGCATTTGAGGTAATGTTCTACTATAAAGAAAGAAAATGTTGTAGAAAAACGTGTGCTGTTTGCTTTCAGGTGGTATCACACTGAGCTGTGACTAACTGGCAACTCAGAACTGCAGGAAGTTTGTCAAGAACAGTTCCCTTGCAGTCTTGCTGAGTTCTGAGGATTGCAACCAGTGCCACTTTTGCACAGCCACTAATAAGCCCCAATTCTGCACAGCCTGCCGCAGAAAGAACCCTTTTGCACCAGCACTTTAGCTCGTATTTTTAACTGATTTGTCAGTCGAGCTGAGTCTGGACCGAAACATGAATGCAGGACTCTGATTGGCCAGGGGGAGTCGTCACTGGATCTCTGAAACTTTTCACTGATCCGCCATTTGCAATTTCTCATAACTCGGAGCAGCGGCTGGATCTATTTTTAAGATTTTAAAAACAATAATGACAACGCCGTGTTTAATGCTGAAGTCCAGGTGTTTTTTTTGTGCTTGATGACCGACTATAAAATTCGAGCGAGCGGAGTCACCGCGAAGGATCATACGAGCTGCAGACCTGTTGAAGCCCGCAAGGCCGAACCCCGAGCCCCGGCCTCGCCTGCTCACAAAGGCCGGATTTGAGCCCTGGCAGGCGGGAGAACCGGGATGGAGGGACGGAGAGTGGATATGTTTTTTTAAAAACATTTTATGTATAAAAAATAACTTTTTTTTTTATCAGCGAAGATTAAAAATAAATACAGTGCCGGCTTTATCGTCAAATCCTGTTTTCCCTTTGACTTTATTAAATAATCTGTTAATTAAAGTTGATTCAACTGAAAAATTATAAAAAGACAAAATTATTGGATCTCTCAGGAGGATTTCCCTCAAACATGTTTCAAAAGGAGACACAGCCTTTGGTTCAACTTTATTCTAACCCACAGACGTACAAATCACAAAACAAGCATTACACTTTAAATCAAAGCTAAACTTTAATTCAAAGCTAAAAATAATCTATATACAAGAAACAAAACCACAATGAGTGCAAATACATCAAATGATGAAGAAAAACATAGAATTTTAAATATAGATATCCTGATGCATGCTCAATAACCCAGGTAGAAAAATCTAAAAAGTTAAGAAGTCTGGTCCTCTGGACATTCAAAAAACAAAAACAACAAAAAAGTAGAAATATTTCTTCTTTCATCCAAAAGACTTCTTCAGTCTGAGGAGCTGTATTCAACTCAGTCTTATATAAACAGCTATGAGTTGAATACAGCGCCTCAGACTGAAGAAGTCTTTCAGATGAAAGAAGAAACGTTTCTACTTTTTTGTTTTTGTTTTTTGAACGTCCAGAGGACCAGACTTAACTTTTTTAGATTTAAATATAAATGTTTTTGTAGAATCTTGTTCATCAGATTTAATTCAGTTTAGTTTATTTATTCAATTCCAAATCACAACAGAAGTCGTCTCAGGGCACTGAACAGAAATATTCATATATAAAATGAGTTAACAGAAACTTTCATATATAAAAATAATAATTTAATATTATTTATCTGAGGAGCAGACTGCTTTGAGTAACTCATAGCAGAACTCTCATTAGCAGGACTTGGATTCTGGACACGCCTCCAGAATCAGTCCTAAAGTGCAGGTGCAAATCCAGGCTGAGCTGAGCCAGGCTGAGTAGGGGTGTGCAGGGCTGAGCAGAGTTGGGGCTGATTAGTGGCTGTGCAAAAAGGGCACAAGTGGCCAGTAGAGTTTTCCAGTTATTTGTCATGAGTGTGGTTTTTAGACCTGGGCACTTAGAGGAGAGCCTTTGTGCAGAAATCAGAACAGCTGCAGTGCTCTGGAGAGGCACAGCAACAGTTGATGTGGATTTAAGATGAGTTTGAGTTGTCCACAAGTACGCTTTACTGTTGCATGGATGTTTTTGCACCTGTTCAAAACTCAAACAGATACTTCACCTCCTGTGACTAATGTGATGAGACTGAGAACCACAGCCGAAGTCACGAGATCATCTAGAGGCTGAAGGCCACTCGTCAACCAGACGCAGCTTAGTGTGGTCGCTTCAAGTAATGAGTAACGGACAGAACAGTTACCGTTTGAACAGGTGATATAAAAAAAGCTGGACATGAATATATCTATAACTGACAAGCAGGGGTCAAACATAAATTTAAAAACATTTTAATTGTTCTGGTTATCAAGCTATAATAAAAATTAATGACTGAAATGTTTGACAGAAATCAGAGTTTAGTTTTGTCTCGCTATTTGGTTCCCTTTTACTGTAATGTGTGCATGTGTGCGTTTAAAATAGTGACATGGTTAATGAATTAACGAGGGTTCTAAAAACAGTAAGTTAGTTTTAGGATGTGTGTTTTTGTACAAGTTTCAGTCTGAACTCTTAACGTCCAGCAACTTGTACGTTTTTGTTTTGAGATTAAGACCGAGAGAAGCCCCAGGGAAAATCTAAAAGTTTGTTGGCCAACTGTTTTATTCTGATTGCAGCTATTTCTTTAGTTTAGCCAAACATTTAATTTATATATTTTGCATGCTGTGAGTTTTAGTTGGGAAGAAATTGAAATAAGCTAAAATATGAATTGGTCAGGCCCTGTGATGGGCTTGCGACCCGTCCAGGGTGTCCCCCGCCCCTCGCACAGTGATTGCTGGACATGGGCACCGGCGACCCCCGTGACCCAAAATGGAAGAAGCGGGTAAAAGATGATGGATGGATGAATTGGTCAGAGTTTTACAAAAATCAGACCCAGCAAACTACAATTGGTGCATCTCAAACTTTTAGAAGAGTTAAAACATGGTTTTCTTTAGAAAAACATTATAAAGTTATTAAGAATCATTTTTATATATTCTGTTTTCATCCTTCTGTCCTCTTTTGAACTACCAGCGGATCTGAAGAGGACTATAGCGGTGCTGCTGGATGACATTCTGACCCGCCTGGTCAAACTGGAGGGGAAAATTGAACTGGCAGTGAATGCCTCTGCAAACACCTCCCACACAGCAGCAGGAGTCCTTGCCTTTGCTCCTGGAGGCCTGCAGAAAGCCTCAAAGCAGGAGGCACCTGGGCCGTCACGCCTTCACCCACACATCCCCAACAGACTTGGACCGCATTAGGACACACTTGTGTAGACCTTTGTTTGGAAGCACAGCACACTTTCCCATCATGTTTGACTCATGGAACGTCATCAGGGGAAAGAGAAGCAATAGGAATATTTATGGACATTCATATCATGCCCATTTTTTATATTTGCCTTGCAGAATTCATTTTGCTGACATTTTATTTTTTTAAACCAGTTGAATCTGGTGACTGTTAAATACAGAGTAAATGCTTACAGTAGGAACCAAAAGTGAATTTTAAACGTTTTTTAAAAAAGGCACAAAATTCTCTTCATCTACATCGTAAATCTACAATCATGTAGCAACGTATCGAATGCTGAGAGACACTGTGTGCTGATGATATTTGAAAATAAAGTTTTAGGTGGTACGGTTGAATGACACTTATTAAGCATAAATAAGGTTTGCAGATGAGATATAACCCAAAGAATATTTTTTGCAAGTCATAAAGGGCAATATAAATGTGTATGTGCTGATTTTTTTGTGCGAGTGTATATGGTTTGTGGAGAATGATGCTTATTTTCCATGTTAAATGTGTGTGTGTGTGTGTGTGTGTGTGCTGGCTTTCACTTTAATGGCTCCTGTGTGCCGTTCTGGGCTGTTTTCATTAGATCTTGAAGAACATTGAATGTATGCCTCAGTCTTTACACCCATAACATCTACCCTATTTTCCGGTGTATAAGTCACAGTGTTTTGCATAGATATGTCAGTCCTTAAAATGCACAAGTGAAATATACTTTTTTTTTTTTTTCCCATATTCATAATGCAATTTTTGACTGACGCTTTAAATTTCTAAGAACTGCAAGAGCGAGTCGTCCAGTGCACGCTCGCTTCACTCAACTGGTGCAGGTGGAGGAACGCTGGAGAGCTAGTGGCTCCGGCTGCGATGGATGGATGGATGGATGGATGGATGGATGGATGGATGGATGGTGCCACGCCACCCAGGTGAAATGAAACTACTTTGACCATTAAATAAACGTGACCGGTCTGCAGTGACGCATAATAAATGCGACTTATACGCCCAAGTGACATGTTTTTGTTCCTCTTCGTGATGCTTTTTTTTGTTTTGAACTGATGTGACTCTGGAGCGACTTGTACGCTGGAAAGTACGGTAGAGGGACTGATCTGCTTGCACATGTTCAGGGTTCATGTTGCACTGTGACTTTAAGGATTTTCAAATAATACTGACTCACTTGGTCTTGAAGATATTTCAGGTGAGGTGGTTCAGGGTCTGGAAGATTCTTCCACTTCTTTGGATTCATTTTGTAAAATGCCTCCCCCAGGGTGTAGCCTGGACTCCCTCCTCACCATGCTGACTGTTTCCTACCACAGACATGAGTAATACTTTTCTCAACCTTGTTTGAAAATTGTGACAGATTGAGTGTGGGTCAAGAAAAAAGTAAATAAAAAGTAACTTTGCATCATTTTGTTTCCTGGAAGATTTTATTCACTGGTCTCTTTGTAATGTTAAATCAGATGACCAGCTGCTTTAAAGTTGTTTCCTAACAGTGTTACGTAAAACACAGCTTTTACTGTTCAGATTTGTTTCATGCATGAGGCCTTATTATAAATATTATTTTAAATTTGTGTTTTCACAGAAGCTTTAATTGTGACTCAAACCAGTTAATCTGATATTGTCGTCTCAAGTTTTATTTTATTTTTATTTTACAAACCAGTGTTTGATGATGAAATTTAACTATCACCTGTGAGGAACCAGTAGCAGAATATATCAGCCAGAAACAACTGCCTAATGGTCATGACTGGATAAATATATTTAAGACTTGTTGTTAAATGGAATATTAATATTTCTACATTTCAACCAGCTAAGGTCGTGTGTCTTTAGTTTTATTTTGTTGATTAAAAGTCTGGGCATTCATTGATTTAAAACAAAATTTACAAAACCTTCAAATGAACCAGTGTTTGTCTTCTTCCTCACTCTTCAAACAGCTGTGTGACATCTGTCAGGAAATGTTGATGCCAACATGTTAAAAAATGCAGATGGGGCCTTGTGTCATGTTTTTAATTCATTCAACCTTTATTTAGACAGGTAAATCCCATTGAGCCTCGAGGACTCATTTACAAGAGAGACCTGATTTCAACAAAGAATTATGATAACAATGGACAACAGCTACAACAACAGTAGACATTTATAAAAATGCATACAGATTTTTTTTATTTTTTACAAATAAGATGGCAAAAAAGAGTAATAAAAAACGGCTAGATTATAAGGCGAATGTAGAAAACTAAAAACAGGAACATGTCTGCATTGATCCTTGCCAGGAGTCCCAACAGATTAATGAGCAGCTGTTTTGTTTTCCATTGCTTGATGCTAGAATTGAGCAGCTTAACATTAATATTGTAATGAACGCTCTCAGCTGAAAGCATGGCTGTTGTGTATCTTGGATGGTTAACATCCTTCACAGATGCTAACTTGAGTTAAATTACTTTATTATGGGTTCCAAAAATACCTTCAAAAGTTTCAAATGGTCACCATATAACTGAAGTGAGTCAGACAAGACAGTTTCTGCATTCATTCGCTACGGAGCTTATCTTAGATCTTTTAGCATTTAGTGTATATCTTAGATCCTTGTGTTTCTTTTTATACTTTATTGTTGGTGTAACTGGGACCGAGTACACAATTTCGTTCCACATGTACCACATGTGTTGTGAATGACAATAGTCACCTTGAACCTTGAATGGAGGGTGGATTGTGACTAAATAAAATAAAATAATAGTATCATTTATTTCATGGGACATTTAATTAATTAATTGTGTATTTAATAATTAAATGTATATTTAATTATTTAATGATGTATTTACTAATTAAACAATACATTTAATTATTATGTATTTATTGATTTAATTTGGTCACATTTCACCCTCCTCCATGAAGCTGTATATTTTAACTTTTATTTTGTAAAGCGCTGACGGTACGGAGGATGACGTCAGGCTTCTGTGCGACTTTAGCAAGCCGTTGTAACATATATTTTAAACGGCATTCAGGCCCAAAAGGCGTTTAACTATTAAAGGTTAGCATCCCTTGAATATTCAAATTTCACCCCAATGCCAATTTGACAGAATTATGGCCATTTTTGTACGTGTTTTCTAAAATCAGTTGGCTGTGGTGGCCATTTTGAACTGGGTTACCTTACCTGCAAAGAGTTGGTAGTAGATACACATCCAATGATTACTTTCTGGATGTTTCACTTGCATTTGTGCAGTAGCTCATGGGAAATTTTGCTAGCAGTCAGTGTTGTCTGCAAATAGTTAAGGCCATACAAAGTCCATGCTCAATAATCCAGGTATACAATCCAACATTTTTCAGTCAGGTCATCTGGACAGTTTCTTTTTTTGTGCTGAAACGTTTCGCCTTCGGTCTGGAAGGCTTCATCAGTCAAGGAAACACACAAAACTGATTCTTCCCCCAACAGTTTACTCCAAAGTGGAACAAACCAGTTTGGTTGGTGTTAAGATGGTCTCTTTGGTACGCCCCCTCCTCCATTGCCGGCCCTCTTCCTTGTTGACAGGCTTGTCAAACTGATGACTGATGAAGCCTTCCAGACCGAAGGCGAAACGTTTCAGCACAAAAAAGAAACTGTCCAGATGACCTGACTGAAAATTTTTGGAAGGCCATAGTTTTAAACAAAGATCTCTAGTGGATTTGCAATAATGCTAATAATATATTATAATTTTGAATAATTATTAATAATTTTAAAAATTAATTAACAATAAATTCGTTATTAATAATAATAATTTGCTATTGCCAAACAGGTCTCTCTTGTAAATGAGTCCTGGTGGCTCAATGAAACTAACCTGTATAAATAAAGGTTCAATGAAAATAAATAAATACAAGAAACCCATGTGTGGTTTTGTTAAGGCTCAGGGACCGTCTAATTGCAACATTGAACATAAATATTAAAGAATCACAATTTTTTTTTCTGTTTTGTCACCTAAATCACAACAGACATTTATGTCTCCATCATTAAATACCATCAGTTTAATTAAAAACTATCATGTTTGTTAAAATTTTTACTAGTTCCTAGAAGCTCGTTGAGACAAGTTTGTGAGTTGTTTTGATTAAAATCTGGCTGATTTGCAATAGTTTGATGATTTTTATTTTAGAAGTTGTCGAACTTCATCCTTACCAAATCTAATAAAGATGTGTTTATTTATTTCTGCAGGATGCCACCTTTTTGCTAATCTGTGCACGCAGGTGAACTAATCTGTACCAGCTGGACCGCTAATTTTATATTGACCCTTGATGGAGTCTTATTTGGATATCTGAAATGTTCTTTTGAGCAGGAATGATCAAATTATGCACCTCTGTTTGGAAGAACCTGAGTAACTATTATATGGAAAACTGGCTTGCCATACAACTCGCCATATTTGACGCAGTTCGGTCAGAAACAAAAACGTTGAGACGGGCTTTTCGAGCGGATGGATGACGGAGAGAGAAAAGATGAGTCAGCAATTTGGTAAGGCGGTTGGCAGCGGCTGGGCTGTGAATGGGCAGGAGGTTGCAGAGGGAAGTTCTGGATCAGGAAGTGAGTTTGATGAAATGGAAGAAAATAGTGGTGGAAATGAAGAAGACTGGAGTAAGTTAGCTGCTTCAAAAAGCAGAAAAAAGCGTAAAAAGCAGACATCAGCTGAAGATATTTCTAACCCAGAAAATGATGAGGAAAATGAACTAGTAACTAAGAAACCAAAAGATGAGTATAAAGTTATTATTAAATTAAATCAAGAGGGAGAATCTTTTGGTGAATGGAACCCAATACAATTAACCAAAACAATAAATAAACTAATAGGTGAAGTCCTTAGCGCTAAGGTTTTACGAAGCGGAGCACTTTTTGTTCATTGCAGAGACAGCATTCAACAAGGAAAGGCAATTAAGATTCACAAAATGGAAGGAAAGAAAGTTCAGAGCAGTCTGGTTGAAAACAAAAAAATGGGTAGAGGAGTCATTAGTGGAGTCCCTTTAAAAATCTCAAATGAAGAAATTCAAGCAAACATACGTGGAGCAAA